CATACCTCCCTCTCAATACATAGCAACCAATGATGAAACTTTTGTGTACATAGAGGCTGAATGCCCGAAGTTAACGCCCATTATCTCTGCGAAGAGAAATTTAACCGGCAGGTCCAGACACAACCAGACTGCATCCGGAAGCTGCTAACTGAGCAATCAGTTGACCAATCCTGCAAAAAGATGTCCGTCCTGTTATCCAAAGAGGTCATGGAGAAGCTAGATGATAAGTACTACGCCCTTCTCGTACCTAAACTAACAAAGGTACACCTGTACAGCAGCAACAGCGAAGATTACATCATCTTGAAAGGAACCATGCAGCCATACCATGCAACTGTCATCTTCGAACTCGTGAATTCACCATTATGAACGAAACATTATAGACGAGACCGCATCCCCAGCATCCACAGCATCACTCCATCTTAACACTATCAACCTGCGAGAGCTACACCGTGCAGAAGACAAGTTGATGACATAATCGCCTGTACCAACTGATGACGTAATCGACACTACACTGTACCACACGGCGCTGCCTTTCTACGTCCTATTGCTCTGCTTAACGTCGGTCTCTCTTATACTGCTCTAGCGCCGCTACGTTACATCCAGGATTCAGAAGAAATCACTTGCTCCAGCTGAAGCTGCAAATGAAGATCTCAGAGATAATTCATACAGCCACGACTCAACATCGAGTATCAGCAACTTTTCCACTCAACGTTATGAAATAGTTGCTGCCCTCCCGAGAGACGCCAGATTACGAGGAACGCTGACACCGCCGTATTACAATTCATACAGTACATATTGTAATATGACCAGAACGTCGACACTGCAGAAAACGTGGGAATCATACGTACACCTCCCCGTATTACAATTCACACAGTACATATTGTAATATGACCAGAACGCCGACACTGCAGAAAACGTGGGAATCACTCGTACACCGCCGAGCCCCCCGCGCCTATTCGATGCCTCATGCTACCCGTGGGCTCGTCACTTCTAGAGCATCGGAACCGGTTCTACCCGGAATCGAAAGAACCGGGAAAACCCGGTTCTGGGAGTATCTAAAAGAACCGGTTCTCAGATGTTAAAACCCGGTTCTAACGATTCTATCGGTTCTTTCGGTTATTATTTTAAAACATTTTGTTTACCCACGCGAGCTCAAAAGTTTCGTATACAAAGATGAAAATCTATTAAAAAAATGTCGCTAGGCGCCGGGGGCGCCGGACAATGCAATGTCAGTTCGCCATTTTAACTGGAAAGGAAGCATCGTTCTGCTTCGTGTTTACGGCGTATTGCAGGTATGTTTGATTTTATATAGTTTAATAATGTTTTGGAACATTATTAAAGTTGATTAGTTGTAAGCAAAAAAAAGCATTTACATATTATAATTTCTGTTTATTTCGCAAAATTAAGAAAGAACTGAATACTGCGAACTGAACTAATTGTTATTAATTTCAGAATTTAAAAATCGATGGTTTTTGTTAACATTGCAATTTTTAAAGATTCTTGTGTTTCTAATAAGTAAAACATGATTATTGATGTAAAATATTCATTGATTTTGAATAAGTACCTCATTATTTGATCAACTACCCTTTAAATAAATTACTTACCTCAAAAGAACCGAAAGAACCGGGTACTCGGTTCTGTGTTTTGAAGGGAACCGAAAGAACCGGTTCCTAAAATGTAATCGGTTCTCGATGCCCTAGTCACTTCGTTTCACACTTCGATCGGGTCAACTAGTTTAAGAATTAGTAATTGTAATTTTTATATTAAATTAGTATTAGAAATCATTTTGGTTCTTTTTTAACTCTTACGGCTGCTGCATATTTATCTCGCGTAATGAAGAACAAACAAAAAAGACTCAACTATTTAACGAAAGGTTAAATCTGATTTAAAATCAGATACTTTTATTAAAATACACTTTCTATGGATATTTTTACTATATATTGTCACGTAAACGTAAATTGAACTCAAATAAAAGATAAATATTCAAAAACTTGATTATAATATACGTGTTTTTTAACTGTCGCGCTTTCGAAGAAAGAATCCCGCTTTTTCCACTCAAAAGGTTCCTAAATCCCGTCGTGACAAAAAAAACTGGCAACGCTGTTATATACATACATACACTCGAAAAACGTTACCCTCCACAGTCGAGTAAAAATAAGATTTAACCATCTTGGATTTCAAAATTTTTGTCGTATTCATAATCAGCGCTCTCAAAAACTATAAATACAATTCACATATTAATATTGTTTTTTTAAAGGCGATTCCGATATCTATACGTCTTTTTTCTCATTTTAATTGACCATATTATTGTTAAATGTTTATGCAGGGGGTTGTTTCTTTTTTTGCAAACAGTATCGTTAGTGAATAACATGATTTCTTCATACTTCAGAAAAAAAATATTTATAAGATAAGATAATAATACTTTATTGCACAACAGTAACATAAATAACACGAATAAAATACAAATACAAGGCAAAACAATCACAGTTGCACAAAGGGCGGTCTTATCGCTAATCAGCGATTTGTTCCAGACAACCCAATGAGCTGGAAAAAGTAGAAAGCACGATAATAATAATGAGGGAGGTTGTGCGGAAAACAAGACAAAGGTTTTGTAAGTAATCAATTGAAATTAATTAAAATAAACGCTAACCAAACATATAGGCATACACAAACATTCACACATATCGCAGTATAATGCAACAGTACTACTACCGTAGCAATATTTTAATGAAAATTATGCTCATCTGATAAGAAATGCTCCTTAACTAGGGATTTGAAACAGGCTAGAGTTTGGGCACGCCTAATCTTTTCCGGCAGAGAATTCCATAGTTGGATGGCACGTATGGTAAAGGAGTGGCTATACGCCTTGGAAAAGTTAGGAGGTGTGAAAAGCAGGAGATTATCAGATGAACGAAGCGGAAGATTATGAGAAGAAGAAAGAAACTGAAAACGTTCTTTGAGATAGACAGGAGCTTTTGTATTGAACAGTACTGAGAAGAGTAGGGACAGTATATGCAGATCACGGCGACGACGAATGGGAAGCCACTTCAATTTCTGCCTGTGGTCTGAATGTATGAAACACGGTCGTACTTACGTAAACCGTAAATAAATCTGATGGAAAATTTTTGCAGAAGTTCAAGTTTACTTAGAAGATCAAAGGTAAGATAGGGATAGCAAACATCTGCATAATCAAGAATAGGTAGAAGAAGAGAAGTTGCAAGAGAAATTTTGGTGGCAGTAGGCAAGAAGTTACGTAAACGTCGCAAAGAGCCAGCCGCAGCAAAAGTTCGCCTACTGACCTTATCTTGTTATTTATCTTCAAATGCTCAAAAATGATAGATATATGACTTATATTGTGGGACTGAGCAGGTTATTGGTGTAATTTTTGACAAATAATATGCTCAATACATCATCATCATCAGCCTTTTAATGTCCCTACTGCTGGGGCACAGGCCTTCCCTATAAGTGGATTAGGGAGATTGGGTCATGGCGAAGGGGCAGGCCCGCCACAGTAATGTGTGAGCAAACGCTCATAACTCGGCTAAAACTTGGTTTTAATTGCACCGTTGCTCTCGGTGTCAGCGCTGATTGGTTCGATTGGTTGATGTCGCGTCGTTTGATTGGATGGGGCGAGCCGGCGACATCGGTTCCCGTACAAACGGTTTATGATCACCCATCTAATCTCTTTCTATGTTTTGTGACCATGACCCACCACGCGGGCCCATTGCGGATTGTTGGTTGTAACAACTGCAGATGCAGCTGGAACCAATGGCTTGACGTGCTTTCCGAAGCATGGAGGAGTTCGAGATAATAGGTTTTTGATCATCCATCCAATGACGGACCATTGTGAAAGTTGCTTAACTTCCGCCGATCGCAGGCCGAACGTGCTCCCCACCTGAGCTATCGAGCTCCATACGTAAGTGCTCAATACGTATTTCTGAAATATTTCGTTTTATTTTCATCATTTTGGATCAGGCGTCCGCTAACGTAACACTCGTTGAATGAACGGGATTGAGCTTTGTCGAAAGCTTGAATCACTGGGTATTTTCTAATTTATCACACGTAATAAAATTATTAACTTCTTAAATCATCGAAGAAAACAATATCAGGAAAACAAACAACCTCAATTCACTGAAGTCTATGAATTCGCTATCCCCTTATAATAAACAAATAATAGATAAGCTCGAAGATAAGTTTGGGTCAATTACGCAGTGTTTTTTGACAACACACATTTATAATACCTTTGACCCCCCGTAATGATAGCAAACGCAGAATTTTGCCAAAAAACACTGCTGCCACACACTGCCACACATCAACATCATCAAGATAATCTTTGGGGAGGTAATTCCACATAGATATAGACATAGGGGAAGGCCTATGTCCAGCAGTGGAATTACTATTCTAACATAAAAGTAAGAACTAGTGAGATTTTTGCGGCTGTATTTGGCGACGTTTTTTTAACGTCGTGTATCGCGTCTAAATGTTCATCCGTTAACAACGAACAATTCTTATTTTTGCGTTAGTCGAGAATTGAAAAAGTCTGCTCACTTATATATGTACTAGCCAACAGTGATTATCAGCTGAGCAAACTTTTTCAATTCTATGAAATTTTCATTGAAATGTACTAAATCATTGCTTTCTTTAAATGCCGTTTTAAGTGTGCTATTACTTTGCAAGTTTACAATGTTCATTTGCAAATTGCTTGGTACATTATTAATATCAATTGCAAAAGGGTTTTGGTAAATTTCCATGTTAAGGGAAATCATTTTAAAGTCGGTGAAACGATGCTCAATCTTAGTTTGTAGTTGTGTTAACACATTTCTCTTGTTATAATTTTCGAAAGTAGGTCATTGGGTCAAATTTATCAGCAATGACCTTAATAATAATGTCCCTAAATATCTTCGTCAACTTTTCCTCTAACCCTGTATAGTATACTGTGACTGTACTCACAGAAAGTAGAATAAAAACTAATGTAGTAACTGCAAGGACAAATTCTTTATTTATATCGATGAACGACAAAGAGCACTTTTCGGACTTAGGAAGCAGAAGGCATTATTTTCTGATAACGGCAGCTGCAGTCTTGTGCTTCTATCCATATGTACTCTAATTGTGGTCTTAGTGAATGTCCTTTTATGGTTTACATTGTTTTTCATAACATTTGATCGCAACAGTTTTTTTACGGTATTGTGTTTAATTTTGATAGGGGTAACTCTTTCGATGTCTTCTCCGGCGGCACCTACTTCGTTAATCAACTCTCGTGCAACTTGATCTAATATAGGATTTCTTCTGCGGCCATTCTTGTTAGTTATTACCTTTGGTTGTTCTTTTTTTGTGCCTGTATTCATAAAAAGTAAACCTGTAACTATGATTACTAAATAAGCGTCACTCGACTCGACACACTGATCGATTTCCATTGACTTTGTATGGATAGACGATTAGATATTATTATTGAACGAAAGCATTAGCAAACGTTGAATGAAAACAGTCACCAATAGCATCTAATATAATTATAAATATTCTTAAAAACAAGCTAATAAGTCATGAGAAAAAACCGATAGCCCCAGCTATCAGTTTAAATAAACAATGAATACACAGAGTCTATCATAACCTTTTGCAGACGACCTCGCAATACTGACACGTAATCCTAAACAATCTCACAAATTATTGATTGAAGTGGATGAGTACTGTGCATGAACTGACGGACTGAGGACAAAATCAAGTAAGTGCTGCTGTCTATGCCTGGGGAGACGTGACACGAAATATACCTCTTACGATACCGAACTCTCAATAGCAGGACAATGTTTTTTTTTGTTAATATTTTCAACACACACCAATTAGCCTAGCCCCAAAGTAAGCACTGTAAGCTTGTGCTATGGGATACTAGGGTAACGGATAGAATACATATACTGATACAAATATATTATAAATGTATCAGTATATGTGTTATTTATACAGAAATACATATTAAACATCCATGATTGGAGTAGAAATGCTCGTATTCATCACACAAACATCTGCTCCCACCGGGATTCGAACCCGGGAAGTTGGTGACACCTTGAAATCCAGCGTACAAACCATTCGGCCACGGAGGTCGTCAAAACACGATTGCTGAAGCTGCGCCTTTAAAATTTTTAGGTAGAAAGATTGATCTCCATCTTTAGAGGCATTTTCAATAATTTTCTAAATGACATAAATAAGGTTGATCAGCAACCATTAAGCAATACTTATTAAAAAAGTTTGGATATACGACAACTATCTTACGTCATGTCTGACTTGGCCTTTCCTTGTATATGACATTAGTAAAACCCTCTTGGCAAAATTAGATGCAAATATCATAAAGACATTGAAGTTATGGCTTGGACTAGCCCATTCAGCTGATCCCTCAACTCTATTTAAAGAATAAAAAGATCAGCATATTTTTGGGATGAAGTTAAAGAAGCCATCAGAGCTCTTTAAACACCTCAGAGTAACCAAGATGCATGTCTTGGAACAAACCCAGGATGAAATAGTCTCATTACTTCAAAGGACAAACGTGTGACAGAGCTTGAGTCAAGACTTCAATTCCATAAACAATTTATGGCAGCTGAACAGGTTAATAGAGTCGGGCTGGGTTCCGCAAACAAAAAGGAGGACCGTGACATAATAAAAAATTTCCTACAACAAGACGAAAATAATAACTATAAAGTACACACAATGAATTTAGAAATGCAAAGTGAGTGGTTAACCACAGGTGAGTTCTGCATTCCATTAGCTCTGAAGTATCGCACTTTACTACATAATTGGTCTCCTGCGCTACTAAAATTCTATCTCAATGCCTTCCAAATGAGCTTCCTCGACCAGAGTAACCTAACGAACGACGACGAAATAGGGGAAAGCCTCTGAAAAATCGTGCTATACTTGTGGTGAGGCAATAGGTACTGCTAGGCACATATTGATAGGTTGCAAGGTGCTCCTTGATAGGAGTCAATACTCACGTCGCCATGATAGAGTATTTGATATCAAACCTGAAGCAGCAATTCTTGCAGTGGCTAGAGCCAAAAAAGGATTAACAAATTAACTTTGTAAAGGAAGGCTGAACTGTTAACTCGAAAAGCAAGTATTTCTCAATCCTACTTAGGTACTGCACCTGACTGGACTTTTTTACTTATACCAGTACTAGCCAATGGTACTACTGACATAACGGTGTATTTTGCAGTATCATAGCATCATACATCGCACAAAAATCAACTTCACACTTACTCTGTATTTTTTCGTTGACATATTTTGTTTCATGAACCGCAGACGTCGTAGTAAGTCTAACAGGAGTTGCAGTTGTGACATAGTTCTTAACACCTGGAATAAAAAATGTACCTAATTACTTAAACGAAATGTTATTTGTATATAGAGATCTTGTATTGTGCGCCTCTTCACGGACGACAGTATCATCTCGATACTCACGTGCGGGTAAAGTATCCAAAAAAAACTGAGGAAAGTTCGTTCCAGATCTTGCTGGTACGCAAAAGAAAGGAACACATGGTGCTCGAACACCAGGCGTCCAGATGGTGGGCATTAAACTTCTCTGCGGTGTGTGGTGCTGTGGAGAAACTTCGCCACTGGCATCCGGGCATCCGGTTGAATAATTCCTCGGAACACTCTTCATTGTATAGACGGTACAACACGTATAAGGAGTTGTATTCTTTGCATGTTGTACCGTCTGCGCATGCTAAGGGGTTGCAACGCGTCAGTGAGCTCAGGATAATCGATATGTCAAACTGCCCGCTTTTGTATCTGGTCAAGACGAAGGAGCTGGTATTGGGGTGTTTCAGCCCTGAGGACCAGTGCTTTGTAAAGTAACACCCGGTATTTAGGCTTGAGGTACTTACTAGATCTATTAAGCACCCAAGCTTTTTCACACTCACTTGTGTCTTTGCTGGGTTAATCCAATCAAAGTTGGCTCCAATTTGAGACATGATCCAGTAACTTCTGAATCACGGACACAAGTCTGCCTTTATACCCTTCTTCTTCCATCCGAGGGATGTTTGACCGACCAGTGTAAAAAGTGTCAGTGCTGATATCCACAAAGCAACGAATGCTGTTATTGCGTACAGCACTCACGCTGTGAAATATTTATTTATTTTCAAAGACATTTAAATTGACGGATTAATTGGCGACCCAAAACAGGATTTTTTTAAACCCGGACTACAAATGAAACCCCGCCCGGACGTTCCACGTAACCTAGGACAAATCCGGGGAAACCCGGACGGACGGCAGCCCTATGGATGGTGTAGGTAAGCGGTAAGACTGGTTACTGCAGCCTACATCGAACGAAATTCAATTCACACTTTGTGTTCTTTTGCTGACACGTTTTGTTTCATGGACCGCGGGCACTGTATTGGGTGGTGCAACGGAAGTGTTAAATTTGCGAAAGTTAACAGAAGCTGAAAGAGTAGTTTTTTTAATGCCTCATTGTTCTTAGCAACTGGAATATAAAATTGTTCCTATTAACTTGATTCTGTAACATGCAGTGTCAAATATTTTTCAATAAAAATTCTGATATTTTGACCGTAACGAGGTAATGCATTTTGATCGTTATTCAAGGAATTTAGGTACTACCTAACGGGCTAAAGGTAACTTAATTTGCTTGCTGATATAACTAATTGACTTATAATAAGAGGTTCAGAGTTCTTAAATGAAATAAACAAAATTTATGTTAAATCCTAAACCATACCATTTTTAAATTAATAGTCGACAAGGATGAATTAATGTGCTAAACAAGGTGTAGCTCAAATTTTAATATAAAATGTTGCTGCAGTTAGCCCTGAATGTCAAAAACTGTCAAACTTTAAAACTTTATTTTACATAATCGACCTCTTGTGTTGTGCGCTGCACTTAAAACATATAGGTACCAGGACGACGAAAGAATAGCCTCAATACTCTCATGCCGCCAAAGAAGATTATACCTAATTCCTCTTGTATTGGTGTTATTTTACTACCAGAAGTAAAACATAAATTGATCTTATTACTTATAATTTCAATTAAATTTTATTTGAAATTACATTTTTATGTAAAATTTACCATAACAATGATAAAAAGTAGATAAAATCATTTTTAATGCTTTAATCGTGTTTCAATGATTTTTAGCCTATCCGCCTTCGAAGGCCAATTACAACAAAAATAGGCTGATTAAGTACTATTTTTTTTATGATTTTTGGTAGTTTCGAAGCATGCGGAGCTTTTAAGCTTAGCTAGCTAAGCTATGGAAACTCCTTTTTGTATTTTTAAATTGAAGTTGATTGTTTGAGTAAATCCTACTAAAAACTCAAGTTTCAACTTTCAAGCCTTTTTTGAGTAACTTTATGTATTTTACAGGAGGCTGAGTTTTTTATTAAAACAACATTCAAAGACAATTATGTCACAAAAAAAGACTGCAAAATATCTACTATGAAAAAAGATATGAATTTATGAAAACTCGCTGCCAGAAATCAATAAAAATACACAAAAAAATTATAACTCGTAAAACTAAGAAAAATCGCGGAACATACATGGGGTAATTTCGGATACCCCCAGGTGCGAGGCATCTAAAAAAAAAGTGTTGACGTCATTAATTGGACTTCTTATATTTATTTATTTATTTTATTTTAGGAAGGTTTACAGCTATCAATGACTTATTAAATAAACAAACAACAATATCTAAAAGCTAATTAAAAACCTCCACATATTAAACGTGCTTATATAACTATAACTATCTCATAATCTTTTATCCTACTATAATATGCTTACATGCTTATAATATGCTTCATATCATAATATATTTATTACAGCTAACAATTTATACTATCTTAAAAAAAAAGAAAGGAAACAGACGTCAGTTTGAATATTGAGCATACCCACTTATTTAATTAATGCCTATTTAAAATAATTCGAAGCTATAGTTCGTCTGACTGTCGCTGGGCTTGTCGAGAATAAGTCAAAGTCGTTCTCAATACTATACTTGTTGTAAATTTCACATCCACGCATTAGGAATGTGTTGTGTCGATAGTTTGTGTGAGCAAAGGGTACATTGAGCAACTGGCGACGACGCAGACTTAGTACATTAGTACGAAGACCAATTTTCGACAATAACTCCGCGCAATCAATGCTGCCATTAGCAAGTTTAGATATAAAACAAGCGTCATTTACTTCACGGCGAATTTGAAGAGGAAGAAAGTGATAACGCTTGCAACGATGCTCGTAACTTGCAGAATACTGTAGGGCTTTAAAATCGAGAAATCGCAGAAATCTTTTTTGTACCTTCTCCAAGCGCGTAATGTAAATATTGTATATCGGATTCCACACCTGCGAAGAGTATTCCATATGGCTGCGTACGAAGGCAAAGTACAACACTTTTATCGCTTTTATAGAATTGAAGTCGCTGGACATACGCATTACAAACCCCAAAGCTTTAGAAGCCTTACTAGCAATATGATCAATATGATCATTAAACATTAGTTTGGCGTCTTGTATGACACCTAAATCTCTAATCTTGTTAACCCGGGCTAATCTGAGATTGAAAAATCTGTAATCAGATTCTATTATATGCGTTTTTCGTGTGAATGTCATATAAAAACATTTTGATACATTAAGATCCAACTTATTAAGAAGACAGTATTGCTCAAACCGTTGTAGTTCTTGTTGTAATTGGATAACATCCAATGAACTACGAATTACTTTTAGAATCTTCATGTCATCCGCAAATAAAATTATTTTAGAATTAAGGAAACATTTATTAATGTCCAAAATAAAAATGATAAATAAAAGTGGACCTAAAATCGATCCTTGGGGCACGCCAGATGGTATATCTATCCACCTCGACACATAACCTCGTAGGACTACAGCTTGGTTACGATTTTCAATATAAGACGTAAACCAACGAAGTAAATTGCCATGTATGCCTGCAGAATGGAGCTTGGAGCGCAATACTTGATGATCTATTCTGTCAAAACATTTTTGGTAGTCGGTATAGACAACATCTACTTGAGCACCATTCTCCATTGCCTCGGTGATAAACTCATTCGCTACTAAAAGGTTGCTGGTTGTAGAGCGCTTTTTAAGGAAACCATGTTGTTCTTCGTTAAATAAAATGTTGGCTGGAGTAGACGTCTTGGTAAACTAGTTTTTCAAGAATTTTGGCAAACAAACATAATTTTGATATTGGGCGGTAGTTTTCTACATTATTTTTGTCACCTTTTTTAAATATCGGTGTAATGAAAGCCGATTTCCATATATTGGGAACAGTTCCCTCAGATAGAGAGCGACTGAACAATATGCAGAGCGGCCTCACTAAACTTTCAGCAGATTTTATTATAAAAAGAGGGGGAATCAAATCTGGTCCACTGGATTTGTTTAAATCAAGAGATTTTAAGAGTTTAAGTACTTTAATAGGATCAAACTCGACATCACTCACACTGTGGAGGTTGTTGTTGATATTTATTGTGGTATGACTCAATTGATAATTAGGCTTTAAAAAAGTGGACAGAAAATACTCCGCAAACAAGTCACTAATTCCCTCGCCGGTGTCCGCGCTCACAGATTTGTAATTCATTACACTGGGAAAAGTTGAGCTACTTCTCTTAGATTTTACCAATGCCCAAAATGCTTTAGGGTTTTTTATAATTGAGGATTCAACGCGTTTAATGTACTCACCAAAACAGACCTTTTCAAGTTCGTAGACTCTTTTACGTAACAAGGAGAATGATTGGTAATCAGATAAGTTACCGTAAGTTTTATATTTTGAGTGGTACTTCGATTTTTCCTTTATCACCTTAATGAGACTTTGGTTATACCATGGTGGATATGAGCCGGGCTTAATACGTTTATGAGGTATATATTTATCACGAATATGGTATAATTTGTTATAAAAATTGGTAACTGCGTCTTCTAATGAACCTGCCCCCAAGTAATTGTACCAATCAATATTGTCAAGTTCGGACATAATCGCACAGTAGTCACCCCGAGCAAAAATATATTTCATACGGCTCGTCTCTTTTAGCTCATGAATTGCAACAAATTCCGCGTGAATTTCAAGAGACTTGTGGTGCAAATCCTCCGTAACCAATGGCTGGACACAGCTATTTATGTTTAAATTACCATCGGAAAATACCACATCAAGAATGCGATTATTTTGATTGTATTCTCCATTAAATTGACTAAAATGACATGTGTCGATGGTATCGAAAAAAACATTTCAAAAATCGGCGGAATGGTTAACCGGCGTCATTGTTACTTCGTCGTTTGACCTTATCCAGTGGACATTATTACCGAGATTAAAATCACCCATTACAATAAATTTGTCCAATGGGTGACTACATACTATT